AATGGGGGCGTGCCTCTGAAATGGGTCTAATTTTTTGGATTGTAGGTATAAGTATCCGTCTTATTTCTGTTCAAGATAGGTATAAATATCGGTAATATTTTTCCGATTTGGTACTGTTTCTCATTTAACAACCTAAATAACCTGATCATTGTGTGAATAATATGGTCTTATGTAAGTGACGGAGGTGTTTCTATGGTCAAAATACATATTTTAATAAATCAATATGCAATGCAACTGTTTGCTTACATGCGCTTCTATTGGAGATGCTCTTCTAATAGAGCAAATACGGTAACTGTTTTATTTGGAATAAACAGTGATGATAGGAATGATACTTTGGTATAAATATTTTGCCACTATCAAGGTATAAAAATGGTCACACTTTTGAGCACTCATGTGCACCTCCTCACCCAGCTATGTATTACCCCCCGGTGTACCACCGGGATCCGTACTCGGTCCATGTTTATCTGTATTTACATCGTGTCAGTTGCTCAGATATCACAACATTGACTTCAACTCTACCTCTCAATCAGCAATTCACCTTTAAAAACCAAGTATCTGCAACACAAAATCAATCTACGGGAATCGGACAAATATGCCATTATCCGAACAAGCAACTTGTTCATGCACTTAATTCTACAAAACACTACTGTGGTAATGCACGTCTTGTGTATGACTATTACCAGTTGAGAATGTCATACCACTTTAATACGCCCAGAATGCAGCTGCCAGAGTTACCATGCGTAATAAGAAACATCACACTGACCGCCAAATATCTTCACTGGCTTCCAGTTGAACAAGAATTAATTTTATTAATATTTTTTTTCCTTCTATTGTCTGATTTCTTACAATCCTCGCATTCTCCGTTCTTCAGCTAAATACTTGTCACATACTCTAAATTCCACATTTGTATCACATGGAGCGCATGCTTTTTTGCGAGTAGCATTTTGTACGTGAAACACCTTACCGTCGGAAATATGTCAAAAACCAACCTGATAACTCTCATGTTCGATAGAATGCACAAGTACAGCGCCACTGAACAATAATGTACTTCGTATAAGATTTTGGCGCTATATAAATTTCTTTGATTGATTGAACATGTTTTATTATTGCTTCTTAATATATAACGCATTATTGTCATATTCACTTTAATTTAATTCATATGATAATTATCAATATGCAATAAAATGTTTAGTACCCCTCACAAACCAGTTCCCTTAATTCTTATAAATATTTATAAATTTCAAAAGTCTTAATAATATGGGGGAATCGCATAACCATTGTTTCCATAGAAACACGTCACAAATGTTTTTCTGTTTATCACGTAGTTGTTAAATTTTTTTACTAACAAAATATTAAGAATTTATAGTGTTGAAATTCAATCTTGTCAATTTGCCAGATCAACCTACAAGTTCGATGTTATGTCTCCCTCTAACGCAAAATTTCGAATAAATTTCCATCATCACCGCCAGAGGGCACAGTAGTGACTGTGACGTGAACCTTGACTTGGTTGACGCCACAGATTCGCACCCAAACGTTGGATCATCATGATATCAGGGTTTACTTGGTTGACAAGACGATATAGATAAAACTACTTCAACTGGGATGTACGTTTCACCTGCGTGCGCATGTAACTACAACACTGATTAATTCTAAAGGTCAACAAAACAGGAAACATAAATTACTGTGTGTTTTATTTTTCTTTCACTTCCGGGTATAGTTTGTGTCCCGGCCTTCTCAGTGGATTGCACGTATGTCAGAGGTGAGTATTGGTCGTGTATGAATTTGAAAGAATGCACAGAAGATATCATATACTATACTTGCTTTTGATATGACCACCTAAAATATGTTGGGTACCCTTGTTCATTCAAGATAGTTCACAGGAATATCCGATGGCATGCAGTGGGATGGACATGGTGTACTAGCCTTGAAATGGGGTTACTGTAATCGAAACGAAACGAAACGAAATTGAACGAGATGACACACATAATGAAAAATGAACTGTAATCAGAGAA